GGGGGGGGGGGGGGGGGGAGGGGGGGGGAGCTAGGGGGCGGGAGAGGGTAGAAGGGAGGGTTTTGCAGTTCCGTGTATTTTAGCGCTCTGTTCGGTGCTAACCCAGCTGCGCGGCTTCTGCGTTGGTTCACGTTGTCGTTGGCCTGGCTCTTGGCGTGTTTTTTTTTTCTTGTTTTCCGACTGATTGCCTCCTGCCCGAAACCGCTGTTGTTTGCTATTCGTGTCTGACCGGGCCTGTCGGAGATGTCTGTTTTGCCCTACTTCACATGATTGGAGGGGGCAGTGGAAGTGACGGTGTTTTGACTGTTGGGTGTGGGGTGGCGAAAAGCCTCTTGGCCGGTATTATTGAGTTGTGGTGCCTGCCTGCCTCTTGCCGGGTTAGCTGTCTAGTAAAGCCTTCAATCTACAGTCAGTAGGAGCAGAGCTTTTCTGTCTCGCACGTGATGGGCGAGAAGGGAGTGCCTGCCGTCGTATAGCTGACGCGTGTGGGGGGGGGGCGCCACCTGCTGCGTGCTTTTTTTCCCTGTGACGAGCGAGAGGGGTAACGATGACGTCGACGATGATGCCTTTGTGGCCTCCGTCGACCGTGAATTTCTGGTGATGATATCTGATGCAGTTGTCTTATCGTAGCGGGTAGCGGGGTGAGAGATAGTAGATTGTGCCGAACTACTGTGGAAGCGGCCAATTTCATTACCGCACGTAGGCAGGGGGGGGGGGGTAGGGGGGGGGGCACCAGTAGGTCTGGTTGTCCCCTCTGTCTAGAAAATACGCAGACCTATAACAAGCCACTTTTCAGCAGTGCGCGGATCACTGCACGTGCTTACCCGGGTATATATTTTGTTCAGCCTCCTGATGTAGTACTTGTTTCAGCATGTTGTGCACCTTTGTTGGTCACACAATTCTCGGCTGTGGAGCATAACCGGCTCTCTTTCAACCGAGGTTGGTTTTTTCCGTTTGGTGGATATTGCCGTGGAACTAGCGCGACGGTCGGCGCCAAAAGTCGGAATGAGCAACCCTCGTGAAGTGGCCCGTCGACTCGTGACCCATGCCACACTTATTTCCGTCTTTTTCGTTGGGTCGTCACCATGTGTCGGGGGCTCCGCTTTTTCTTTTTTTTTTCCCGTCTTCCTCCCCCAATTATCACAAGAGTAACAGCTGCTGTCTGCTTTCCCATGGTAATTCCCGGACGACTTGACGGTTCGTTGACTGCTGCTGCCCGACAGTCTTGTGGTCGTCGTTCCATTGTCGTTGCTATCCTCTGACAATGCAATAGATGTTGGTTGTTGTTTCCACCCAAAAATGCTTTGGTCCTCTTTACTTGTTGTCCACCACATTCTTTCTGTTCCCGCCCCCCCTCGGTTTGTAGGGTCAGGCGATGAAGGTCCGCCATGCAAGGCCGTGTGACGGTTGTAAGATGCTTAATACAAGCAGGGTAGGGTGCATACTATAGCAAATATTCTCTATGAAGGGTGAGGAGAATGACTAGTGCATCGATCGGTGTCTCACAGACCGCTTGTTGTTGAGAGTGCGCATGTTATGGAGTAAGAGAGAGCGAAGAAGTAATAAGAGCAAACGACATTATTATTAACGGGCGCGCAATAATTTTTAGTCTTTGCTTGCTTGCGACCACCTGTTGCGTGATGGGGTTGCTGTTCTGCTATTGTTCCTGGCGTTCGGTTTCCGCCTCTCTCTCTCTCTCTCTCTCTCTCTCTCTCTCTCTCTCTCTCTCTCTAGCTACTTCAATCGTCTCGATATCTATCCCTCCTGTTGTTGTTGTTTCTGCCGCTGCTGCTGTTGCT